TCGGGGTTTCTTCTGGCAGCAAAAATGGCCCGAGTTAAAAGAGCTTATTAGCGCTTTAACCTAGTCTATTACTTATAGACTAGGTATTACTTATTACTTACTTATTACAAATAATTGTCGCAAGAGGTTAGATAAAGGCACAAAATAATCAGAAATTGTGAAGGATTTTCTTTAATGGCATTAGCTTCCCCCAGAGACGGGAAGCTTGCTGTGTCCAAGAGTGTTCCTGATTGGTTCATATAAGTCCGTGTCCTGTTAATGTGACTTCCATCATGATCCTGTATTATCTTAATGCATCACACTTACATGACATGACAAGTGAATCATGTCTGAGCTCAGAAAATAGGTGGTAATTTCCCCTGGTTGGAGTGTGATGAATATTCTTATGTACGGGGAAAGCGAATGGAAAGTGTTCTGATGAGATATGCATGGACAAGCTGTGTTTTGTGTCAGCACAGTGGAAAAAGCAATAAGGCTTTTATTTGTATTGTTTTATAGTTTTCTGTATGGGCGCCGGGGAGGGAAACGTTTGTGTGGAATGAAAACTGAAAATAGCCCTGCCTTATTTTTTATTTTTTTTCTTCACATGCAATAAGTTTCAGGCTGCATCTCGCCGATAGCGCCGCCATCTCTGCACTGATCTCTCATCCTCTGCATCGCCTCCTCACCGCGCGCTGCCTTTGATTTCAAGAGCTGAACTATTCTGCAACATTTGTTGATGTGGATCTGTAAGTAAATGCTGCAGAATTGTGCTCCTCTTGGAATTGTTCTTCTTCGCTGACCACCAGGAGAGGCTGCCTCCATCCTCGGCTGTGCGCTGCAAAGAATGTGATTCACCCATCAACACATAGGCCAACGCATGGGAACACACACACACACACACACATGCAAATACGAGTAAAGAAGAAGCTCATAATCTGTGGCATTGGACTTTTAGTGTTCGTACATCATTATGTTTAGATATTTGTTTGACTTTAATACGTTGCTTTTTTGCCATAGTAGTGATGTCACGGTCCACACCTGTCTCCTTCACCTCTTGGCCACCAAAGTGAATTAGAAGGTCACGAATGGCCGATTCTACAAAATCTCAAGTTCAATGGCAACATGAATTGTTTTCCACAATGGAACGCCAACAACAAAGAGAGGAGGTCGAAGGAAAGAGTAAAATTCTGTATTTGTAATTAAATTGCATGCGCGGTAGGTTGCTTCCAAGAACGTTTGGCTAATTCTGGGGGAAAGATTGGGTTGCAGTCCAAAAGAGAAAAAAAAGCCTTTTCTGCGGGGTACTGAGCAAGCAAAATAATGTTCAAAGACCAAATGTTGTCCAAATGTTGTTCTATAGCTCTTGCTTTTAGTGACGCATTTTTCTTGAGTCTGTTATACGTAAACCTTTTTTTACGCTCTATTTCTGTTTCAAAAAGCAATAAAAACAAATTGGCCACTGCCAATATTTCAATTCAAACAATAAAAATAGAGTTGTGAGTAGAAGATGGTCGTGCGGTACGAGGTAGACAGTGGCAGAGAGACAAATGGACCCTGTGCAGGATCTTGTGTGGTTTTTTATCGGCAGGGAGAATATGGGAAAGCTCCCCCACCGATTTGCGCCTTTGGTTTAGGGGACGCCCGGGGGCTATGGGATATAAGTTGCCGGGGGCCTTCCAGAATTCTTACCCTTGGTTAGGGGGGAATTGGTGTATTGGGGGGGGGGGGGGGGGGCGACAGTTAGATCAGGGCCCCCACGGGCCGGTGGGTCAGGATGCTATTCTCTCATCCCGTGATGAGGTGTGTGCAGTGTGCATCTCGTACGTCACACACATGCACAATTATTATTACATTCTCTAACTCGTCGGTGAGGACTCGCGCGCCTTCGCAGACCGCGAACTTCCAGTTACACACGACCACACTCGAATGAACCGAGCTCTTTCTCGTCAGACGCAGCAGTTTATACATTTATTTCACCATTTGATTGTGAAACCCTCCCACTCTTAACCCAACTGCGCAACTATGTTCCTGATGTTTTCCCACTAGTCTCCCCCATTAGGCCCCCCCTTTCTGGTATGGTGATGCTAGCCTGGCTCCCTCATCCTGGTCGGTTGACCGTATCTCGCTGGCCTCTCCCGTTATGCCTCCTAGCGCCTACAAGCACACTCATCTGTGTCCCACTGCGAGTGTCCGTGCACTATTTATTGCTGGGCCTTTGCGATCCTCCGTGTGGCAAAGACTCTTCCGTTTCTATAGATCTACAACCTTGTATATGCCCGGGGTCTTATTATATCTGTCACGCAGTGTGCGCCTCTTTCTTGCTTCCCTTCTCCTCTGTCAAACTGTAAATCCTTACCTACTTGGATATAGCTATAGAAATACCCATGCTTAAACTATTACATAGAGATTAGTATAACATGAATAAATGTTGGAGCATAGAAGCCATTTTTCGTCTACATTCCCCGCTTGAGCGACTCTGGTTGCTCACACGGATAGAAGGTAGATCCTGCTTTCAATCTTCAGGCCAAGGTACTTTCTGCACCGTAGAGAGTGCACTGCCTGGATACTGCATTATTTATGATAAATATAATTTAAAACATTGTGAGTGTAGCATAGATATATTTCAGTTAATATTCTAAGAGCCTGATGAAATGTTACAAAAAGGATTCATTTTAGTAGCACAAACACACGCGTATCGCACACATGGAACGTTGTCTCCTCTCCTTTGCTCTTTGGTTTTGGTTTTTGTCCAACTCACTAGTCACCAGCAATTTAATATGCAAACTCCATCCAATACGTCTTTTGCTTTTTGCCATCTGTATGGATCCGACGTGCAGGGGAAAATAACAGTTTATTGCAATAATTGCAATATTTGTACAGCCAACGTGTGTGTGAATGGTTGAATGCTGACATGCACGTGTGAAGCACTTTGAGTGGTTGGCAGATTAAAAAATCCGTCCTACGGCCGTGAGTCCGTTTACCAGAATGTAACCGCTTCGTACCCCACGCCTCCAGGCTCCTTTCCTTTACACAAGTTCAACACATTTGACTCGGTTAGTAATTGCTGTTGCCATGTCCATTGGTCTGCGCGCATGTGTGTGTGTGTGTGTGTGTCCATCCTCCGGTGATGCATGGTCAGTCACTGCTCAGCACCACGCTGGCCTTGGAGCGGAGCCCAACCAGACGGATTGCACCGGGACACGGCGACGTTCCAAAAGCAACATCCTTTCAGTTGAGAGAAGGTCAGGCGGAGGCGCCATTAGGCTGACAGAGTCTAAAACGGGGTCCAGTGAGGCGAGGGGGGGCGGGGGGGGTGGGGGTGACTGACGCTTTTTGACTCAAGGACATGCCGGTATCAGAGGTTAATGACGGAGGCGGCCTTGGTACGCCGCGCGGGACGCCACTTATCACACTGATGTACAGTGTGTGCGCTTGTGTGAGTGTCTGTCGAGTCTTTAAAGGCAAACACCACTTTGAATCTTAATAATAGTCACTCTTCAGCTTTTTCCAATAGTCTTTATTTGAGGGGATACTGATACCGTGAAATCGAAGGTGTGTGCCTGTGCGTGCGTGCGTGTGTGTGTCTGTGTGTTTGTTAACCTCTTTGCCTTCGTCCTAATTGTCCCCATTTGATCGAAGCAGCCGTGGTTCCAAGCGCTTCTCCGTCCTCCCCACAGCTCCATTTATCACAGACACACAAAGGCACTCTGCGCTTCAAGGTGAATTTCCAAATGGCTCAGCTTGTGTTACCGTGTTAAATCGATGCGCTCGGTGACAAACCGACGGCAACGGAAACCTCGCCGGGCTGGAGACTTTTACACGTCTGCCTGACATGGAGGTGCAATGGAAGTTGGGAAAATGCTATTAAAAGCAGTAGCAGCTGGTGTCTTAATGAGTTTGTGAACCGTCGTGATCTTTCAGTTCAGTTTCTTCACAACAGTTTCTTATCACAGACCCTGTCGAGCCGTCACCTACTTTAGTTAATTGTATATCTGTTTCAAACAGGATTTTCAGCGCTTCTTTTTCGCCACAGCTTACAAAAGGAGACGAGACGCGTGCCTCCGTGTTGTGACTGCACAACACTCAGGAGGACAGCATTTTGGGGGATTTTTTTTGCAGTCATCCTCTTCCTTTTTGAAAAAATGAAACGTGGGTTTGATAGATTTTCTGACAGTGTAACCAACAGAGAGCCTCTTCATTAAAGCAGTTAGCACCGGATTAAACAAACATACTTTCAGCAACATTTTCAAAGCGGGGAGTTTGAAACCATTCTGTCACATTATATGCTTTAATAAATAATGTTATAGTGACAATATTGTTCATGTTTTCTTCAAGGGTTTAAATGTCTTGTTAACTGTAGAGAAAATGCAGAGAGAATGTTTGTGGTATTTTTTTTTCTTGTTAAAATATTTCTTGTTGGTGTTAACACGACATTTCGTTAACATTATTTAGACAGTGAAAAAGGGGAAAATAAACATCTTTAAGATTCTGCATCGCAAGAGAGACGTTAATTCCTTTCAGAGGGAGAAAGTAAACATAATAAATCTGTGTTGTGTCTGTTAAGCTCGCTTTGTTTTCATGTAAGAAAAAAGATTCTAATTTTTAAAACTAAAAGTAAAGCTCCTTCAAACCAGAATAGATGGGCCTGTTTATTTGAGAGAACCTTGCTACATCAATTCCCATATTTGAGAAGAGAACCTGAGTTCCATTTTTCTGTTAAATTGAAGATAAAATTCAGACGATTCTCATACTGATAACGCCGGACCATCGGACACAAGGCCAATGCCTCTTGATCCGCATTGTTGGATATGGCTACTTTAAAACAATAGAAATAATAATTCAGAAACATGTCACTGCTGGTTTTATTGTCAGCAACCGATATGTGTCCGCCAGGGTCCTCATTTATTGGGAAACATTGGCAGGATGTGCGATTTTCATCTAATCCTCTGTGCCCATAACACCCTCTGACTTTTATTCTCCATATTTGCGTCATATTTCCATCCTTTCGCCCCCCCCAGCATGCCACCCGGGCTTCTACAAGGCCTATGCCGGGAACACCAAGTGCTCAAAGTGCCCTCCGCACAGCGTGAGCTACGGAGAAGGGGCTGCCGCGTGCCGCTGTGAGACGAGCTTCTTCCGGGCGGAGAGAGATCCTCCAACAATGGCTTGCACACGTGAGTACACCGCCGCTCATTGGAATCATAAGCGCCTAGTAGATATTCAAGGCCTCCAGTCGTCCCCCGTGACGTCATGGGAGAGCTCCGGGGCCTCGCTGCCATTACTCCGACCATCTAAATTATGGACGCGTGTTAAAGATCTCCACACATGTGTGAGCCTGACAGTGCGGGTGAGCTATTGGTTACGGCCTCTCAGAGTTGGCTGTGTCTCCGCTGTCTTATCTGGCGTAAAACTGCGCACTGGATGAATTACATCGCTTTTGTTCAGCTGCCTCGTCTTCATTGATGATTTACCGACTGTCATTACGACTTCATATTTGCATTAAATTACAGTTTAACCGGACTAATTCTCCTTTAATTAAAAAGCTATTTAGCCGTCACTGAGATAGACGGGGGCCACGTCTCCGAGCTTCCACAGGGTGAAGAGTGTATTTGTCTTCTATGGAGGAACAAATACGGTCCATCTAGAGAAGCTGTGAGTTTACAGTTCCCCTGCAATTCAAAATCCATGCCTTAATACCTGCAGACTATCCATATATACTGATAAAACAGGTACGGTTATTACAGGAACAACATAAAGCCTGTTTCAGTAAAAAGCATATATTTCAAGACCTTTGATTTACCCCTGATATGTGGAGACATCATACCAATGATCAGGTGACAATGTTTCCAATTAGTATACAAATATAATGTTTTGGAGGTTAAGTTCAGTCAAATATACTGTTAGTAAATGCTGGTTTTTCAACAGTTGTTTTTGTCGGTTGTTCTTCTTAATCTTCCAGGCAAAAGTGCATATAAAGCCTCGTGGGGCGTAAACCACCACATGTACTTTAACAGGCTGAGAGTTCTGCATTTACTCATAATCCATTTAAACCAGCGGCTTGTAGAGCAAAACACTATTTGCGTGATGCCTTAGTAAACAATAGGAAACAAGAGATGAGATATTGACGGCCGGGGAGGAAGACAAAGGCAGAGAGCGAGAGAGAAAGGATGTCACAGGAGGGGAGACACAGGTGGAGAGAAAGTGTAAAGGCCGGATGGAGTCGACAGTGAAGAGAGAAAGGAAGGAGGCTGCTGATACCAATCCCGCCCCCCCTCCCCCCAGAGGAGAATGGGAGCTGATTGATGGCAGTGGGGTTGCTCTGCCAGAGGGGAGGTGGGTGGACTCTCCTCGATGGAGAGAACAGAATAGGTGAGATAATGGCCGATAGACGCGGGAGCAGATAAAGAGAGAGAGAGAGAGAGAATGGACATCCGCTGACAGAAGTGGAGGAGGAGCTTTAGTGTCTACTGAGATTCTTTTAGCAAAGGTAGAGAGGGAGAGGGAGACGGACGCCTCCCATTGTCCGGGCAGACAGCGAGCTTGGCAGGACGGGACTGTTCAAATCCCTCCGGCTTTTTAACTCCGCCCTGTTGACAGCTGGCTGCGTGCTGTAGCACAATGCTAACCCTCACGCACAAACACACACACACACACACAGAAAAAAAGGCCTCAACAGGGGAAATGAGAGGGAGGCGAGATAACTTAAAGAAATGGTATTTTATGATGCATTGTTTTTAAAATATATCTGCAGAGCATTTAGGACAATGTCTTGGGTGCAAGGTGTCTCAGGGTTTGATTTTAGATCCTTTGCTTTGCTCAGTATGTGTAATATGGTTACTCGGAAATTCCACCTGCAGATCAATAAGGAGAGATCAACTGGAAATGTATGAACATGTTTTTTTGAGGTTATCAACTTCCTGTTTATTATAATCAATAGATTTGAAGCATCTTTACTACGCAAAAAAAAAACCTCAATGCATCAATCAATAAATTTAAATCGACCCCTTTTAACGGATCTGTCTTAACTACAGGCCCTCCATCTGCACCACGCAACGTGATGTCTAACCTGAACGACACCTGCTTGGTCCTGGAGTGGTCTCCTCCCGGCGACACCGGGGGCCGCTGGGATGTCACCTACAACGTCCAGTGCAAGCGCTGCGGCCCCGGCCCCGAGCAGTGCCACTTCTGCGAGGAGGAGCTCCGTTTCCTGCCGCGACCTTTGGGCCTGACCAACGCCACGGTCACGGTCATGGACTTCTCAGCGCACGCCAACTACACCTTTGAGATCGAGTCCCTCAATGGTGTTTCGGAGCTGAGCTCCTTCCCCCGACAGGTGGCCGTCATCACCGTCAGCACCGATCAGGGTGGTGAGTATATTTCTGCGTTCCATTGGGTCCACAGTGGCTCCACAACAGAACACAACCGCATTTCTTGTTGTATGTCAGGAATTAACCTTTAAACCTGACCTTTAAAAGGCCTTTTGCAGTTGAGTTTTTAACCACAATTACTGCAGCATTATTTGCATGAAACAATGCACATTCCTTAATAATTCCACCAGTCCAGAGGAACAGAGTTCTCTATTATCTATGTATGTACGACCAGACCGCCATCAGCACTAATATAGCAGTAAACAGCTGCTGTCTATCTACACTTCGAGAAATGTCTTTTCGACCGCTGCTAACGCTGTTAGCACCTTTAGCGGCAATCCGTCGTCTCAGCCAGCAGCATGTTGCGAACGTCTCGGAGGCAATAGAAAGTCAGTGAGTTACGCAAATAGAACTTTTAGATTAACTGATGTACAAGTACGTGGGGGTCAACCTTTTCAAATGTGTATTTGGTAGAAACACGGTGTTTAGAGTAAGTAGCCTTGGATACAGATGTTAGATGTTAAGTCACTGCAGTTAATGTTCCTCGGCTATTTCTAGTTTTGCATCTTTCACTTCTGCTGTGAGTGATGACAGGAGGCCAGGAGAGGTTCTCTGTACCTGCTCACATGCTCCAAAGGACCAGCCTGAATTTTCCTCTGGGACAACGATCTGCTATGGAAGACTTATGCTTCTAATTTGTGATTTGCAAACACTCTGTCTTCTGTTTTTTTCCCCTCTCTTCCCTTGACTATTCTCTCACCTCTTTCTCCACTGGTTGTTTGTCTTTTCCCTTTTCTCTCTCCAAATCTGTTTTGTTTCTTCTACCTTCTTCTCCCCTCCCTCCATCCTTCTGCTGCTGTGGGAGTCTGGGACCAATACGTATTCTCATACAGCCCAAATACATTAAATGCATTCTTTTGTGTCACGGGGGAGTCTGGCCTTAACGGGCAACTCAATGTAACATCCAGCCTTTTTATATCATTAAGGATAGCCAGTTTAGCACATGGCAGGTCCCCAAGCTGCACACAAGACCCATTTTAGCACTAATATACCCAGTCGTAGCTGTTAGAATGCTCAGGGGAACCTGAGCCACTGATAAGTAGATTGAATATGTACTTTACCACCATGAGCGTTTGGTCAAAGAGACAATGGTCAGTGTCATTCATGTGTTAGATGGTGTTATAAAGCAGCATAAAATAGATACGCGGGCGAAGTAATGGTTGTACTTTTGGTTTAAAGGATGTGATGATGTCCTTTCAAGTTGTATTCCTTTTATCTCATGATACAATTTACACAAGCTTGTCAAGTAGAATTCTAAAAAAGGCGCGTATGAGTATATAATACCTGCCATCTCTTTTGGGAATGGAGGACGATGACTAAATCCAACAAATAGCCCACACACAGGCAATTACTGCTTTTCAATGGAAATTGAAACTATTTATGGGCAGATGAGTGCGTTTGAGTCCTGCTGTCTTTTTTAGTGAATTGTCAATTTATATAAGGAGCGTCTTGAAAATGAGATAATACAAGGTTCATCCTGCAAATAATGAATATCAAACATGTAAAAAATACCATTAGTTGCTTTTATAAAATACAGCAACGGCAGAGGTCATCGATCTCAACAAGTCATTTGGCCTAATTTGTTTTTTCTATTTCAAGTATCCTCAAGTTAGGAGTCCGATAAAAATACTTTATCGGTGCTGTTGAAGTGGTGATTGTGAAACCCAGTGTTATATTTATATGACCGGAACACGATTGTTTTAGAGTTTGAAATAGTCGTGAGAAACACAGTTTAACAGCAGCTTCATCGTGATAAGTCCATCATGCAGGCACATTGTTTTAAATAAAGAGTCACATTGGGGGAAACACAGCTTTATATTTTGCAAATTCCAACAGCATTACAAGTACAATGCCAATTTCTTGGTATTGCAAGGAATCAAGCTGGTCCTAGATAAATTAGACGTAGTGAGTAAAAATCATATGGTCCTTTTGGTAAACGCTTTGTGTCGTAGGGGTCAATGTATGATTTGTCGTGCCAATGATGGGCTGCTTTGTTCCATTACGAGAGGCATATAGAAATTAAGGCCTGTGATAATTTCATGTCAGGCGGAACCTTTTCAATGATTTGTGATTTATAGAGCGAAGCGCATCTAATGTATGCACAAGCATCATTCTTTATAGCACAGACGCATGTGTGGAGGATTATAAAGCATATGGATTAACAGCAGGGGAGTGTCTTGGCCTGGAGTAAATCTCCTCATATTTGGAGAAAGGGAAAAGGGGCCTGGGGAAATCATGGGCGCATTTGCAGTTCTCAAAGCCGGCACCAGGAACGTGGCACCGCCGTGATCAGACAGACTTATAAGTTTACACCAATGGGAGGTTCACATCTGCCATAATCCATCTGCCAACCTTTTCTAACTAGCTTGTAGAAAGTCGGACTGTCGTCATCTGCAGCCGGAAAACGTAACTTCCTACAAGCTGTATCTCGAAAAGAAAAGAACAGACTTCCCAAATGCATAAAAGATGTCGATCCAATCTCAAAACCCACTAAACTGGTGGAAATCCAACAACAACTGTAATTGCCATATGCTGCCTTCCTTAAGAGAACCGTCTTATATCAGAGTAAGTGTCAGGGAGTAAATGGGCGGTGAAAAGTGAAATTAAGGAGAAAGCCTGAGAGGTAAATAGGGAAGAAAAGAGATCCAAAGGAAGCAGAAGAAGAGCTTGACAGAGACAGATGAAATGACAAAGGGTGAAGGATATAAAAAGAGAAGCAAAGAATGAGAAGATGTTTGAGTTACAAGGCAAACAAAGTGCAAAGAAGGGTTGGCAGAGTAAAAAAAAGGTTAAACAAGAAATGTGGGCAGAGGGTAAAGAGTGTGGGATAAAAGATCTCTGCACTTGTGTTTGTGCACTGTGAAAAGTAAAACTTGAATAGATTTGATGTATCAGGTAGACTTTCGCTATTTACTTCGACCATCCTCATTTTGTCACCTTGGTTACGACAGGGTTTGGCAGATTCTGGATTTTTGTTTACACCTATCAGGTCTCTTTCACAGTATGGAGCTCAGTTAACAGACTAGTGCGTCGGGTTTAGTGGCGTCCAGCGTGAGGTTGCAGATTTCCTTTATGCAAAAAGGCAAAAGGCCTCGGCCAGAGAGCATGCCAGAAGAAAAGGTGATGCAACAGGGTGGACTGTGTGGAATGTGCAGTTAGGAAGGGTTCCTTCTAAGCACAATTTCTAGAACAATTCTTTGTTCCATCGTACGAAAATATTTGTATTTCTTGAAACCTACACACTGGCTCTTTAGTTTGTTAAGAACTGCCTCTAGTTTACTGTCATTTTAAACATTGGCACTTAACCTTTTCATTTTGGGTATTAACCACTCAGAGCTTTGTAGTTTGTGATTCCGTATTGATCATGTGACTGACGGCCACGCAAAGAATCAACGTGCACTGATCGGGCATGAAGCCAAACTACCAACTCTTAAATAAATCCCACCAGGTCTTCAAGCTTTCTTCCTTATGTGTTTGTTCCTTACACTGGGTTGAATTGAGAAGTCAACTCAAATTCCATCATCTCACAAATGTAAAGACAATATAGAATTATTGGAGGGTGAAAGATCGGGTTGACAAAACTGTTTTGTGCTCAGGCGAAAATCTAAAGAGATTTCAGACTCAAACTCAGAATCTGCCAATTGTCCCTGGTTTTGTAAAACAAAAATATGCGTTTGCGTGCAAGTTTTTCTGTGCATGGTGGTGTTTTGTTAATGTACATTTTATTGCTGATCTAATTTAGTCAACGTAAATCACATTGTTGTGTGTATAAACAACGTATGAACGGGGGGCGAGCTCAGAACTTGTTTACGCTGTATTTCATAATGCAATCCTGGAAATAAGTGTTGAGAGGGGGAGGACAGGTGGGCGTCGGCAGAAAGAGCCAGAGGAGGAAGAGGAGGAGGAAGAGAAGGTTGAACTGGTCTACAAGCAGGAGAGTTCCTTTAATCCCAGGAAGCAGCTGGATAATTGTGTGTGTCACTGAAAGCAATCAGAGGCGGATCGGGTTCTCGGTTTCGACGCATCAGAATATTCTTGCAGCAACTTGAGAGACTCTAATCAGACGGCCTTTTGTAGATGAAACGCCGGTGGGTCGAACTAACGATGATATGGAATAACATAGGAGGAGCTGGCGTGGGGGAGTGCTGCTCATTGACTTGGCGCAGACTGAAAGTATCCAGATCACATTCATTTGTTTCACTCACCTGAAGGCTGTAAGTATGAATTGTACTCAGATATTACGCGATCATCCATGAAGCCCGAAGGAGCTCCATCGATACCTTCTCTCCCTTCAGCCGTCGTCGTCAAGCAAACCGCACGGATACGCTGTGGATAATCCTCGACCTCATCAAGACCACAATGGATTCGAGAGAATGTGCTGACCTGGCATTCAAGCCACACCGTGCACGTGGAGTTAATGGTGTGCAGCATGGAGTGTATGAAATATTAATATAAGTTGTGTTTCCATGGCAGACCTCAACGTGTCTTTGTTAAATGTTGTAGGATGTTGCCAGTTAAAACAGTTTAGAAATATAATCAAGCCAACGGTCTTGAGCATTTCAGAAATTCCTCTCAGTGGTTTTACATTAATCTTTCTCATTTCAAAAGGCCAACTCCTTATTTCTGACCCAGTATACACACAAAACTTTACCACCACTGGAACTTTAGATGTGGACCCATTTGTAGTGAAATCTAGTGAATAACAGCAACGTTTCCTCTCTAAATAGGCCCCTTAGTGTTGCCAGTGGATACTGAATATAAGGTACTCGGTGATCATTTTGCTACACAGTGCAAACACATGGCATAAATTCCTTGACGCAGGCTCCTTTATACATTTTCTTTTAGGTCTGAAGGGCCACGCTGCTCATTTGTCGTGGTGTTTAACATTCCTGGTGAAAACGAAAGAACGGCAAAAGGTCCAACTCCTCTGGTAAAGGATC